ATTTAAATTTCAGTCTATAAATCATTGGCAAGAAAGGCTGGGGAAGTAGGAAATCCTAGAATGGAAAAACACAGAGCAAAAGCACTGTGATACAAAAATGTGAAGGTTGTTTGGGAAATCTTAATTCATCCAGGTTTATTGTGGGGTTAGGAGTCTGAGGGGCAGAACAGAGTGGTACTAAGGTGAGAAATACAATCAGGGAGCACATTACGTTTCTCAAGTGGCCCTGACAAGGAATTAGTCCTCTATTCAGTAGACAGTGAGTAGCGACATAAGGACAGTTGGTGATCAGGGAAGTAGCGCGATCCCCACCTGCTTTGTGATGATCAGTAAACGTCTGAAAAGCAGTCATAATGTGTTTCCCTGACGCTAACCCACTTGGCCTGCAGAAGCAAAAGAGGTGATGGGTAGATGTGAGTTATGAGAGAAAGACAGCGTGAGGAAGAACAAAGACAGGAGGGCTTTTTATGAAAATTTTGTACAAGGGGCGTTGGCTCCCACTAGCAATATGACAGCCTTCATAGCTCACTGAGTCACGAGAGACTTAACAGATGTCCACAAAGTTTTTGACACTCATCCTTTCAAGAGGTGGAGTGTAATTTCCTTCCCTTTAAATGTGGGCTTGAATTAACAGTTCACTTCAAAACAAAAGAATGAGAGAGCAAAGACAGTGTGTGCTCTCCAAGACTAGGTCACAAATGGCATGAAAGCTCCTCACTCCCCCATGTGTCACACGCCTGAGGAAAAGACACCGTTTTGTAAGCACCTCGAAGGAGCCTGTGAAGTTTCATAGGTGAGGTCCCCGCCAGTACACGCACGACAGAGGCAGAGGGGGCGTGGACACTCTGTTCCCGGTCAGGTGGCTACAAACAAGGCCAGAATCTGAACTGCATCCTTATGGAAGTTAAAGATCTGAAAGCTCCTGTTCAAGATGCTCCAAATTCCTGGCCTGCAGAAAATTTACAGTAATAAATGTTTATTGTTTTATAGTCTAATCTGCTGCTACCACTGTTGAAATTCTTTGGTCAACATCTAAGGACAGAAATATCTTCTCTGTAGTAGGCTAAGTAATGGCCACTCGGGACACAAATGCTAGTTCCTGGAATGTATAAAGTAAAGGAGTCTGCAGATAGGATGAAGTCAAGGATTCTGATGTGTTATGCTGAAGCGTTCAGGTGGGCCCTAAATACTCTCACGAGTCTGCTCCTAAGAGAGTCGTAGGGAGATTTGGGCCACTTAGATAGCAGTGTGAAGGTGGGAAAGAGCCTCGCCACGTGTCCCTAAGACAAGGACCCGATGGGTGCTGGAGCCACCAGAAGACAGAAGAGACAAATAACGAGCACTTGGTTTTGGATCGTGAAGATTTTGGTGATTTGCTCTAGCAGCCTTGGGAAGTGAATGCATTCACCCATTAGAGGGGCGAGAGCTTACACGTTAGCTGAGTAATAATCTGCTGAACATCCTTTCAGAAAATAAAAAAAGAAAACACTATGTATTGATGCTAACAAAATGACAAAAAAGAAAAGAGCTGGGGATATGTAATGTACATGTGCCAACTCCATACAAGGCGTGTAAACACTGCATATAAACACGCACACACACAAAGGGAGGGAGTCGAGGGATGGGAGGAGGAGGAAGGGAGGGAAATGAAAGGGGACAAAAGAGAAACTGAGATGTGCTATGCACACATACCAACTTCCCACAAGAAGGAAGCTATGCAGACCGGAGCAGAGGCTTGAAACGTACTTCCGCAGCTGCGTCCGGCGCCTGTACCCTTGACGTTCAACGTGAGGATGAGGAATCTGGTCGCTGCTTGTGTTCATTATCTATTACTGCATAAAAATCGCCACAAAAGGTGCTATAAAACAGTATTACTACACACATGCGAAAAAAAAAAAAAAAAAAAAGAAGAAGGACAACAAAACAGAAAAACAAAAGACCCGTGATACAAAAGAAGAGTGTTTGAAAAAAAAAAGAAAAAATATAAAAAAAAAAAAATCAAAAAGAGAAAAAACCCCAAAACTACACAATAAAAAAAAGATAAAACTACAAAAGGAAAAAAAAATAAAAAACTTGGGAAAAAAAGCGTAATGTTTTATGGAAAATACTACAGCTCATTGTCAAAATGGTGTTGGCTTTTCTTTTGTGATTTTTCATTTGCGTAATTAATTTGAAGTAATCTCCACTTATATCAGGATTCCTGTAAGAAACTATTATCATGACATTCATAGAGCAATTCACTTTTTGCTAAATCAAGACAATGGCTACCTAAGGTTCTTTACTATTCTGTGATTTTATCATTCTTACTCATAGGGCTTAACTAAAAAAATCTTAGTCACAGTACCCATGAAGGCCTGTGTTAAATATATTCATAAATTGTACTAAAATCAAGTAGTTAATAATAATTGTGACCTTGATGTAAAACAGATTTCAAAGAGTGTAATAGTATGTTCATATTCTGCAACAAATATTTGGCAAGTGGATAACCTGGTGTATATCATTATGTTTCTGTAGATCTGCCAAAAATAGTTTTGGAGTGTTGGCCTAACTAATAAAGTTTTTAAAATATTCATGTGTTGTGAAATTTAGTGAAATACTTTAAAAACAGTGGAAATTCTTTGTCACATATTCTTATACTGTATTTGGTGTGTTGAAAAAAACTATACAGATCAGCTATACATACGCCTACAATCTTTTTGAAGGATGGCATGACAAAAATTAAATATTCATATTTACCAAAGAAAACTCAATGCATGTTTTGTTGTCCTTGAGATTAAATGCAAGTCAATAGGAAAATTCATTTTTAGGCAAATATTAATTCTGCACTATGTTTTCAGGAATGTGTAGAATGGCAAATTAAAGGTAGTTAAATATTAAGGTAGTAATCTTTTGCACTTGAAATTTTTTGCAGTATGAGTTGGACAGTTGGCACTAACAAATCTATTTCCAGACGCATACTTTTTCAAAGATTAGAGGAATGTAAACGTGCCCAAAGCATGCACTGACCACCTTTCTACCAAACTGCACAGGAAACAGGACTGTGTTGTTCTGTTTCCATATCAGGTTTTGCAGAAACCTTGTTCTTTGATACCTGTCGAACGGGGACATGAAACTTGCATACTTAGTCATCACTTCTGCAGGTAAGACAGACACTGCGTGCTTTAAAGGCAGGACCCATCCAGAGACAATGTCTTAGTCACGCTGCTACCGCGGGGACAGAGCGCCTGAGCCCGACATGTAAAGAGGAGGTTTACCGGCTCCCACTGGGAGAGGCTCAGTTCGTGGCTGGCTCCCAGTCACAAGCAGCACGGAGGGAGGACTGGCAGGGCAAAGCACCCAGCCCGTGGGAACGAGAAGCAGAGACAGAGATAGCAGGCAGCAACAAGAACGTGCCCTGCCAGTCACATCTGCAGCTAGGTCCCAGCTGTGCACACCGCACTCCGCCGTACGCGCATCGGCAGGCCCTGCACCGAAGAGTGCGCCACTCCCATGGTCCGGTCACCTTCGAAAAGCCCCACCTCTCAACACGGAGACTTCCAGGGTCCTCTTCAGATTTAAACCCTAATGCCCATTTGTGCTTCTCATAGTGCATAGGCGTGATGCATAGTTAGAATTGAGAGGGCAGTGAAGATGAGAAGGCCATGACTAAGTACTAGTGTTGTTCTTTATTTCTTATCCTTTGATGGTGTCCTGTTGGCTAAGATTGCTTAAGTCTCTCTAGAAGCTGTATTAGCATAGAACTGCTAGATTGCTGGACAGAGCTGGTTCAATCCTGTGTGTAAAAGCATCTTAATTCTTAGAAAAGTTCTTCCTAATATATCAGCTAAATTTTTGATCCAGGTAAGCCTGACTCTTTATACTATGTTCCTTATAAGTGAGAAAAAAGCATGTATTGAGCCAGGTGTGGTGGCACACACTTGTAATCTCAGCACTTGGAGGCTGAGGCGGGAGGATGGCTATGAGTTCTAGGCCACATGGTGAGTTCCAAGCTACCCTGAACTACATAGCAAGGCCCTGTTTCCAAAAAAAGGGCAGAAAAACCCATGTACTGGTAACAGTCCGCCTTCCCATTTCACACGTATAATGTGCACTATTCAGTCCCACTATTTCCTAGCAAAACTGCACTTCCATCGTACCAGACAAATTGGGTTATTGCACATGCTGAAAAATTAATTTCAACCTTCTCTCTCATTGTCAGGATGTTTTCTCATTCATTCTAATGTAAATTTCCTTCCTTGTTGGAGCAGTGAACAGACCTTGAGTGGGTGAAATAATTCGTTAATTCTGTCTCAGCGTCTTAATTTCAAATTTTATAGCATTTTGTCTGTACAATATATCGTCCAAAACAGGTACTTATATTTCCTTGTAGGAGCCAGAATCTCAGTTAATTCTGGAATTACATTATGAAATCACACGTTCTAAACAAATGAAATATATTAATAGATATAGATGGTATAGATAGATGATATAGATAGATAGATATGGTAGATGGTTAAACCACTTATCCCACCGGTGTCATCACTTTTGGAAGCGGTTCTGTATCTTTAGTTGCGCTGTCTTGGTTGCCGGGATGTCCTGAATCTGTTCAGAACGTTCACCTCTCGCGGTCGGTTTGACTTCGGGGCAGAGCCGGGAACCCAGTGCCAGACCCAGGAAGGTGGATGAGGACACAACATAGTGTTTCTGATGAGCCTGTCTTTCCGCTGGACGGCACTTAGCAACACTGCTTCGCAAATGGCAGGAGTGATGGGCTAAGCGTGTTTGAAGTGGGGGGGAGGCGCATTTTGAGGGAGAAACTATTCACTGTATGTTTCTGTTGGACCTCAGACTTTTTTTAACTGCAGAAAACTCTTTTCATGCCTAGTGAGCTGATTTAGGTAAAAGTTTCTTCACTTTTAAAATTACACCCATAGATACTAGAGAGTATGATTATTTTATGAGTATTATATATTAGGAAAGTCCTCAAGTTTAATAATATTATTTTATATTACTTATTGTAGGACAGAATGCTAGCCATTGACAGCAACTGCTTGAAAAAAGAACCGAACTATTTTAGGAAACATTCATGCGGTGACAAAAAGGTAATGATGATAATTACTTGGAGTTTGTTATTCAGAGCTCATAGAAAGTTCTGTTTTGTGCCTCTGGTAGACAGTTACATTAATTATATCAGTAACCTTCCTTTGTTCTAAAATACACAATTTCTACTGATCTGTTAAATTCTATTTTTGCCCTCTTTTATACTATTTTATAGTTCATCCTTAGTAGATAAGTTTGTTGTTATATCACCTTGCAAATACCAGCACTGCTCCATTTAAAACCACATGTCTATTTCTACAATTGGTTACACAGGAAAAGACTTGCTATAAGTTACTGCTTACACATGTATAACTCGTAGGTATAATTTAGTTGCAGACAATTTGAAAAATATTTTCAGTATTTCCTTAAGTTTAAACCAGTATCATTTCTAGTTGGCGTGCTATTACAGGGTATAAAAACTCCAAAACGTGTTTTATTTCTTTCTAGAGAAATTGTTTTGCTGTTTGACAGTGTTTTTCAAACTCACAAAAGCAAAATTAATTTCATGGCATCTCATATTATAAATTCTTTATTTTTAATTGCTTACTTTAAATACATAAAAGCCTGTATTCTAGGTGATCTGGCCCGTATTTTCTTACTACCTGCTAATCAGCCCTGGCTCTACAGGATCAAGAGTAATACATGTCAGGGAAGCACACATACCTTGCATCACCACTGCTTCCGGAAGCCTCTGCTGTCGTTCTCCTGCTTTACGTTGAATAGACTTTGTAATGTTTTCATCCGTGAGAGATAAGGTCACACAAACAGAACAGAGGAAGAGAGAATGTAAGAGTTAGCTAATCGCCAGAGCAAGCTCCAGGCACGTCACGCCGTTGCCTAGGAGCTGGCTAAACAGTGTCCGTCCTGCGGCTCGTCAGTCACGTGATTAAGAGGAAACCGAGAGCTGGGAAGGAGGCGGGAACTACTTAGCAGGGCAGTTCTGGGGTCGGGGTCCCGAAGAAAACTGTACATTCTTAATGTTTCATTTCAACCGCTGCTCTTCGACCTTGTCCTCCAACAGGAAGCTGCTTTTCTAAACCGTGCTGCTTACAAGTTGGAGCAATTTGTTAAAATGAATATCACTGTGGATTTTGAGCTACACTTATTAACAGTTTCACAGGGCACATTAAAACTGATAAACTGCACCAAGGTAAGCCGGGACTGTTCACAGCTCAGAAATACAAACCAGTGCTGTGCTAGGAGCTGGCATCCTAGCCCTTACTATAGAATGCTGAATTTCGTGACCACTTCAAGGTGAGATAATTTACTGTCAAGAAAGTCTCCACTTGCAGAGTATGTGTTCATACCTTGGCTAAGGGAAACAAGTTTGTGAAAATAAATGAATTTTTCATTGCCATATTTACAAAGAAACTAGGGTGATAAATAGTGGGGGAAATAGTACGTTTTTTATCTGTATAACAACTGTAATCCGTATTATGTCACTATATACATCCTGCTCATAAAACAGAAAAATATATTTAGTAGCTATCTTTATATATTGAACCCAGGTATAAATAGTTCTGTCAGTTTTCCTTGTTTTGCTTTAATAATTTTGGTACATACAGGGAAATTTGTTTTTCCATGAAAGTTATGAATTAAAAACAACTGATCAGTATTTGAAAGACAGCATCTTGATCTTAGGCAATTCTCGCATCTGCAAATTGGAGAAGAATGTAGAATCGCCATTGTAGGACACGGAAAGGATTCAGTGGCATAATTTGCAGTATGTGCTTAGGACTAAAAGGTTTTAATGCTTAAATAATGTTTATTATGCTTGCTACTATTTCCTTCTTCAGGGATTTTACCCGCTGACACACAAAATGTTTCTTAAGGTTCTTAGCATTTTAAAAAAATTTACAGTATGAAAAATAATTGTGTTTTGCTTCACTTGAGTACCGGTAGTGTCCAGCAAAACGTAAAATGGAAAGATTATCTGTGAGCCGTATTGGCGGATGAAACTAGAGTCTGTAATTTGGACAGCTTTCTTTACCATTGCTTTGTCTTCTTGACAGAGGCCAGTCTCCTCTTGGTGTCCTGGATTTTTATTTACAGTTTTGTGCCTTTATGTTAATTTTTGAAAAAATTAGCTATAATTGCTAGTTTTTAAGAAATAAAAACCCAAATGAGTACCACGTGTAGCAGACTATAAAAATTGTGCATTACATGTAATAGTATGTATTCTATTTTACATATTTATATATGGGTTATTAGGAACTATTACAAAATTATACAGCTGTATGGAGCACAGTTGTGCGTTGAAAGGCAAACTGAATTGAATCTGATTAAACTTTTAAAAGGCTCATTAAATAGTGAGACATTGAAAAGTGGGTACATTGATTCCTGAGTGTAATTGGGTTCTTCTTGTACATTTCTAGTACTGTTGTTGTTGTTGGTTGTTGTGGATTAGTAGATAAAGGGGGACATGAATATTCCTTATTGTTCTTAGAGGAGGGTGAGTTTGTATACCCTGAGTCAGGAAACCTGAGGAACTCCCCTGGCGGTAGATAATCTGAAAAGAATGAAACAGATACATGAGCTAGGAGCAACGTAAATGTTCAGAAAGTTTTTGACTAAGAGATTGGGAAGTTGGGAAAGGAGTGATAACGTCTATGTCCCCAGGACTGTAGAGGTAAAAGCAAGACTCTGGGTCTTTTACATTTATATAGTGACAGCTCAGTATTTATGGCCGACTCATTCAGGAATCTCACTGCATGGACCAAGCGCTTGGATGCTCAAGTCCCTTCCGTGCAGAGCCGTAGCGTGTAACCTGCACGTGCCCTCCCACACACTTCAGGTCACCTGCAGTTCACTTACAACACCGAATAGCACGCATAAATGCTGTGTTTGTTTGAATGTATTTTTATGGAATAATGACAAGAAAATGTGTAGACAGAGACAGCACAAGTGAACTTTTCCGCAAATATATTTGATTTGTTGTTAGTCAAATCTGAGGATGTGGGAACTACAGATACGAAAGGGCAACTGGTTCTCTCGGTCAAGCACAGCTACTAAGTAAACTTCAGTCTGTACTTTTTAAAAATGTTATTAAACTCTCACTGCAGAGAGTGTGAAAAAGTTCCTTATTAATATTTCTAAACTGATCTTTGATATTACTTAAAAGAAGTATTTTAGTGTTGCTAAGTATACAGCTAAGAGACCTGAGTTAATGACTAAATTAAAAATAGGACAGATGAACTCAAGGCTTAGCCACTGTTTATTTGACACGTGACACTGGTGCTTATTTATACTTTTTGAGGCTCAGTTTCCTCATCTGTAAAATAAAGTGAAATCAAATTCATAGGATTGTTAAGTAGGTAAAGTGAAGTAATATATGTAAAGTGCCGAGCACAATACTTGACATAGAAAATGCTCAAAGATGGTTGGTACCTAAAGGAAGAAGTACGCAGTTTATGCAGAGCAGATCCCTTACGTATCTTCTCGTGTATGGCCTCTCTTCTTCCATCGTCTACACGTTATACAGTAGCCCTTTTCAGCATTCTCATCAGATGCTAAGAACCAGCTTAGAAGCAAACATTTGTCATACTCTGGTAAAGGTTAGATTTTCGGGGTGGAGTTTAGGGTGTAAGTTCAGTGAGGCATATCCTTATTAATTATCTTTGCCAAAATAATCTGAATATTTTCAGTGTTAATTAGTCTTTCCACTAAAATATATTTTTAAAAATTAAAATTCGATGGAGTAACCTACGGATATCTCAAAATATCTTTTTTGAGATGGGCATCCCACTGTTTGTATGGGCTAGCCTCAAAGCCTGTGCCACCATACCCAGCTTAAAATACATGTTGTGAAAGTTGAAGCAGTATTTTGTGGCCACTGTCGCACTGTAAACATGTTTCCTTAGTCTTAGAACACACATATGTTGATTTTCCTACATGTCAGTTATCATTAGTTACAAATTATAGTTTTTGCAAGTGTCATGAAAGATTTTCCTGTATTATACCAAATATTCAGTGTAACGTTATATGCTTGTGCCTGGCGTGGTGGCACACGCCTGTAATCCCAACACTCAGGAGGCTGAGGCAGGAAGATCGTTGCGAGTTCGAGACCAGCTTGGGCTACAAAGTGAGCTCAAGGCCAGCCTGAGCTGCATAGCAAGACCCTGTCTCAAAAAGACCACAAAGCAAAACAAAACAAAACAAACCCTTCTATGCTTGAAAATAAAGACAGAATATTTTAAAACATATTTAAAAAGTATAAAATTATAACTTTTTAATCTATTTCTCTAGGAAGAAACTGTTTCAAAAGAACCAAAAAAGAATGACAGGTGTTTCCTAAAGACACTGGTACAAAAGATAAAAACGTGTTGGAATAAAATCTTGAGAGGGCGTTAGAGGGCACCTGGAAACGAATGGAATATACAAGCTACGGGTGCATCCTCCAGTAAGCTGTCTGCTTATGCAATTTTTGGGGGTAGAAAGCCTCCTAGAAGTTACTGAAGACAATCCAGGAAGAATAATGAGAACAACTGAGAAATTGACATAGTACTAGAAGACTGAGGTAAACAACAGAAACTGAATATTGCAGTGAACAACTATGCCGTAGGTTTGTGGACACACACGGTCAGTATTGTTTATACTGACTTTGTGAGACAATCCACATAAAGTATCATGTGCAATAAAGCTTGTAAAGCCTGTGTCAGTGTTGCAGAAGGCATCAACTCTGTGAAGTATACAAAGATAAGAAGGATTAAATCAGCATTGTTTTATTATCAGAAGAATTTTTATGGTCCACCGTGCATCAGTGTGCTGCGTCAAGCATGAAAATGGTTTCCATCTACGCTGGAGATGTTTTAGGATTAACACTGATGGAAAAATGTTCGTGAAAACAAGAGAAGTATACACTTTCAAGAAGCAGCAACATAAAGAAGCCAAAAATACTTAGGAGAGATGTTAAGAAATGTATTTAAATATGAATATATAACACAGTGCCTTTAATAAATGGTATAGCAAATATTTTTAAATGAAAACAATGGATCATTTCAGAAGTTAGAAATTCACTTAGTCTAGGAATGCTAAGCCTTAGTACTAAGTTAGTTTTGTCATTTATGTATAGTAAAAGTTGTCTTTGAGTTTTCAATTTGGGAGGTATATTTTTAAGAGAATAATATATGTTAGCTTTTTAATGAATGGATTGTGCATATTTAATTTTGACATTATAACTGTATATAAAAATATTTTCATACAGTATTACTAATGTTTACTTTGAATAACATTTCTCCTTTGTAATAAATGACCTATGAATTAGCACTGTCAGGCTAATTTTATCCCAAGAGAATTTTCAATAGTGCATCACCATCCGACCGCCCATGCTCATTGAATATGTGACCGTTAATACCTTCTTACGAGACTAAGTAGGCACCCAGGATCCCAAAAAGGTATGCGTAGGAACACTGCTTTTTAGTTTAAATGCCAACCTTTTGAAAGAAACCATTGACATATCTTTTTAGACCCTGACTAGAAAGGACTGCACATGGTCTTCATTTACTACACCAAGGAGGCAGATTATAAAGGGAATTAAAAACACTGTTTCTACGAAGCCAAACTCCGGAACAGCTCCCAGCTTGCAGCACACTGGATTCGCACCCTCCTGCCCTTTTGCCGCTTCACTGCCATCTCGTTACGTGCTGACTTGCTGCGTTTGGTGTATAAAAGGTGCTCCAGTGATACCCTCAGCTTTAAAGGCCATACTTCCCTGCCCTTTCACTTTCCCAAACCATATGGAGTTTCGTCCCCAGTGGTGCAGACAGTGACTACAACTGCACAGTCCTTTGAGTAGAACGTACCCACCTGCCCCGTTTACAGGGCTTTGAGTTAGGCATTTTTTTAAATCGCTTTTTACTGCAGAAAAGGGAGTTGACTAAACTCATTAGAAGCAAATGATTCCTCACCAGATAGTCTTTCTTCAGATGGATCTTTCTACAGGGTATGTTTCCACCGTAAGACACAGTCAATGCTGACATTCCTCTGTCCCTATAAACTGGTGCTTTTGGTAAGTCATCAGCTACAGAAACAAGGAGACTTAGGTTTCTAAATTTGTGAAGTTGAAAGCTATGTATAAACTTTTCTTAGTGCTGAAAAAGTTCTAGTTTGTGGCAAAATAAAAGGGGTAATATTTTTAAATGCTGATTAAAAGAATTATTGGATTTTTTCCTTGGATTTTGTCATTTGTTAATAATAGATTTGAATTTTAGAAAACATTCCTATCTTATTCAACTAGCTCAAAAACCAATACTGTTTTTTAAAGGCTTAGAAAAACTATCTACACATTTATGTTTGTATTGCCTTTATTTCCTTTACTTCCAGGAAATTCTGGCATCTAGCAAAATAGAGGAAGGGAGGCCGATTAATAATTTTGGTTATTATATTTTTATTATCTCTAATTCCTCGATTATACAGATATGTCAAAACGAACATTTTCCTTCAAAATACATTAAATCAGTATTTGTAAAGCTTTTCCCATAAAATTCTTATCAATGCACACAGAAAACAAACAAAATAGATGGGGAGATTGTGAGTGGTGAGTCATAACCTTTCTCTTGGGGGTTCACAGTTCACACATTGTCTCCAGACTCACACAGCTTTCGGAAAGCTGAGCAAGGATGCTGTTTATCAGCGGCTTTCCCACGGCAGGGCACAGCCGAGAGGAAGAGGGGTCCAGTTCGGCTCACGTTCTACGGGGTTTAGTCCACCGGCTGCAGGCCCAAAGGAGAAAGCATCTCAGCGCCGGGGTGCAGTGGGGTCAGGTTGCTTAGTTCCTGGTGGTCGGGAAGCAGAAGAGCCACGTTTAGGAAACAAGGTCATGCTTTCACGACCCCTGGTCTGTCCTTGGAAAGGATTAATGAAATGAATACCCGTTAGCCAGTTAAGCGAGAGAGAAGACCACACATGACTAAGACCTGAAGTGGAAGAAGGGACAGCACCGAGACAGCGGCATGAAAGTTCCACCCACACTAAGTGTAATGAAGTGGTGAAAAATTCCACACGCGCAAATTCGAAAGCTTACATGACATAAAGCAACTGCTTAAGAGACATAGTCGGTACAATTTGAGTAAAAATTAATAATATTGCAGAAACAGAATGTAATACCTCCAGGTGGGTTCATTGCTGAGTTCTACCAAACAATCGAGGAAGAACTTCAGCCAAATCTCTACATCTTCCAGAAGATAGAAACAGATGGGTTACTCTCTAACTCTCTTCATAAGGCCAGAAGTGTCCTAAGATGAAAGTCGGACAAAGTTGTTAGGCGAAAACTACAGACTGGCTGTGCTGAGCTCCCCCACAAACCCCCAAGATAGTAGCCACTGAGTCCCACAGCGCCTAAGAGCACTGCGGTCAGCGTCCTCACCGAGGACAGAGTGACCGCGCGTAGTGGGTGGGGTCTTGCTAATTGCTGAGATACTGTCAAAGCACCCTTCTTCCCCCATAAGATGCACTTGGTTTCTTTACAATGGTGCTAATTTCTTCAGCAATGACAGTTTGCTTGACCCTAACTTCACAAGTGGTTTCTTGTGGGTCAAAATTTAAGCTTTTCAACTTTTTACTGCTGATTCCCACTATCAATCTGGGTCAAAAGCCAAGAGCATCCATCTGACAGGCTGAATGTCTGGCTATCTTGAAACTTCCTCCACCGCATTAACTAGAATGCTGCTCTTTATGTCAGTCTCCTGCGAAGTCTCCGGACATGGGCAAAATGTGGACACTCTCTGCCAGAATGCAAGACCCACGGCGCCTACTCCAATTGCCAGTAAGTCCTTACTCCCACTGGAACCTCCCGCGTCTGGCCTTTGTTGTCTGTGTTCCCGATAGCATCTGTCTTCTCAGCTCTGACCAGAAACACCTGTCAGGCTCTGCTTACAGGGTTCTAGGTTTTCTCTGCCCTGTATCTCCAGGTCTTTCCAAACTTCCCACAAGCCGGTTCCAAACCCTGCTGAAGCCCACGGTCAGGCCGGTTACAGCAGTGACCTTACTTCTTCAATAACAGTTTTCTGCATTAGTTTTCTCATCGCCGGACACAATGCCCAACACCCTCAGTATAGAGGCGGCGCGGCTGAAGCTGGCTCACACTTTAAGGGGATTCAGCCCACGGTGGGTCGGCTCCAAGGCAGAAACATCGAGGCAGAAGAATGCGGTGGGGCAGAGCTGCTCAGTTCGCGGTGGCTGGGAAGCGGAGCAGGGGAGCGGTGCAGAGGGGAGGCCGGGGAAGGACACACAGCGGTCCCACAGCCACAGCGCCATGGCCCGCTCCACCCGGCCAGGAATGCGCTTCACTAATCGCGTGGGCATCTGAGAACATCAAACTGACACCTGTCCCAGGAAGCATTTCAAAACTTTTTTGAAAAATGCTACTTCCATATAAAACCTATTGATGTAACAAAAGGCTAGTATAATTAATAAAAGGTTAAAATAATAGGGAAATATTGGTTCATATTAAAGCTCTCAGTTAAAAGTCTTAAAACATTGTCAAGTATACTGAAGGAAATACTCCTCAGGATTAAGACAAGGATCTGATTTTTTAAAACTGATACATAAAGAGCATGCATTTCTGAAGTGCCATATAATGTAATATATGTATCCACTATGTAATGTTCTTAACAGGTAAATACAGCTATTTCCACAAATATTTATCATTTTGGGGGGTGAAAACATTCAAAAGTCTTTTTTGAAATGTAGAATGTTGTTACCTATCTTTGTAATGGTGTGCAAAAGAACACCAGAACTTATTCCTCTTGTAGCTGAGTACCTACTGACCAACCTTTCTCCATCCTGGTAATTCTCAACAACAGGAAACATAAACTAGAAGTGTGTGTTTCCTTAGGTCGTATTTTCACTGATAGCCACTTTATGGACAGTTCAGGCAAACACCTCCGACACTAGCTGCTACACACACTGCAGCGGTGGGGGCGGGGGGATCACTTGAGCCAAGGAGTTTCAGGCTACTTGGAGTAACAAAGAGATGAGACGATTCCGTTGTTTTGTGCTCAGAACCAGAACCATACACCCGCATAAACTTGTTCAAAGTGGATCTGAAATGCAAAGGAAGTGATAAATTTGAATTAGGTGCAGAAAAAGGGGAGAAAAAATATATACCCTAGCGAGTGCAGAATGGACAGATGAATAACAGAATCGTACGGACAGTTCTAATCCATGTGAGATTTGTGCCAAATCTCTCATCATAACTCGGAGGGGTTATTTGTCCTTTGCGGATGAAGTTTTGTTGATATTACCATAAAGAATGAGGAGGTAGAATGAAAGGCAAGCACACTTAGGAACCCTGTGCACTGCTCTACAATTAATGACCTTATCTCCCCAACAAGAGGAAGTGATTGAGGCAGTGGTGAATAGAGCTTCATTTCTAATGACTGACCCTACAGTATACCTAGGATTCTCAGATGTTACCCACAACTATGACAAATGACCATGAGAGACACTGACACAGTCTAGGTTGGAAATGCAAACAGGTCAAGATAGTTTTTCACTATTACGTGTTAATTGGGCAGTGTGGAGCTTCTAATACTCTTCTGTTCTCTACTTAACAAAGTACCTGAGCCAATGGCTGATCCGTTCTTCTACCCCTGAAAATCAGCAAGGACAGGAGTAAGCGGCAATCTTCCTACTGTACAAGGGGAAATGCCGAGCCAGTACTTACGCAGAGGACCGAAAGAACATTCTGCGCTTCACGGAAACACAGCAGAAGCGTTCACACGGCTCAGCCCACGGGCCCCCACACACGCTCCCTCCTACTGCCGTTGCCTTCTCTCTACCGCAAGGCAGTGCCCTGCCTGGTCGTGCTGTGCCCGGCTTCCTCCTAAGCACGGGCACAGCGGGAGTAAGGAGGGAGGGATGCTCAGCCTGTAACCGGCGGCGGTTGGGAAGCTCCCCGTTAGCATCTCCGCAGCCGTGACCACAGAGAAATGCTGCTAAAACAGATCATTTCCTTTTGTCCTGAGTTGTCGCTGTGTGCGCGTAGTCTTTCCTGGTAAGTTATGAACGGCAGGGCAGGGGCCGCGTCACCTTCTTTGTGCTCTGACCGGCAGCGGTTCAGGGAAGGACGGCCCAGGAAGCACTTGTGCACGCTCCCTCTCAGCGGGCGCGGCCGCCTGCTTGCTGGCGCCCTATTTAAGTGGCGGCGCTCTCACGTTTAGATGATACTAATTTAGTCTAGATGGCTGGGGGAAGAGGTTTGTCTTAGAGTATGATCTACTGAACAGACACAGATTTAAAACGAGAAATCAGAGCAGCGTTTCCCGCGTGTGGCAACGCGCCGAGGGTACCTGAGACGCGTGGCTCTGCTGAAAACGTCAGGACGCGGAGCGAGGGCTGGGCACAGCGGAGCGGGGGAAGAGGCGACCGAGCGGCTCGGGGAAAGCCCACCGCAAACGCCGGAATCGCAGGCGGGAGGACACGGCAAGCCGCCGGAAATGAGACACTTGTGGGTCCACCGGTGGGCTGCGGAAGAGCGGCGACTCCAGGGCGGGCTCCGGGCAGCCGCAGCACGCGCCGGCCGCCAGCTGTCCCAGGTCTGCACCCGCGGCCGCGCAGGGT